AGAATCCCCCAGCCAGCCATTCTGGGAGTTGAAGTCCACACATCTTAAACTTGCAGAGGTTGAGAAACACTCATATAGCCTATGCATATGCTGCTATATGGGTGGCTTTCCATAACTTTATTGCTGTTTCCAGGGGCATCTGGGTTGATGGGAACTCAGCTGATGATGCCGTATTTGCACCCTGGAGCTCCACCCCTCCATTCTCTCCAAGGAAATTAAGGAATCTAAGTCCCCATGGCCCGTCACAGATTCCAAAATCGATCATCTGTAAGACTGTCAGATATTCATCCTTTAATGCTAAGCAGAATCAGGTCTGGGGAGACCACCAGGAGACCCTTGCGTTGAGAGTGAGAAGCGGATAAAAGATTCCAGAAGCAGGCAGTGGCAAAACGCCTTCCTATTGCTGCCAAGAAGGCAACATGAGCGTAGCAGTCAAGCTGGCCCTAAAAGAAATTTCATTTTTTTAAAAATGCGGGGCAGAAAAGTTAATTCATTAGATGCTCAAGTTGGAAGGATTCACCAAATCCACCCCCCTGTCCTGGATGGCTACCCAGAAAATTCACTCTTGCTGCCTTCCACGTGTACTTTCTCGGGCAGGGCTTGCCGGTCTGTTGGGTGGCTTCCAATCGCACAGCGAGGGTGCCCAGAACCAAGCCACCGCAATTCTACCCGCAGCCCGCTCTGTCCTCTGCCCCCAACCCACAACTGCAGGAAGCTCCCTGCTTGCCGTTGTTCTTTTTCTGAGCAAGTAGACACACTTCCAAAACGTCCTCTTTGTAAAGAAACAAAAGAGTTGGTGAAGCCGTTTGCTTGGAGCACGCCGGCTTCTAACTTTTTAGGGTCTTGCATAACCCGTCGCGACTCAGGTTGGTCGCAGGGCGTTTGACCTCCCGGGCGAAGCAGTAGCGAAGGTTATTTTCAAGAACTAGCCACTAATCCTCCTTTGCAAGAAAGCCTAACTTCCGTGTGATGAAGGGGTCAAAATGCTGGACCAGGGACCCCTCCGGTTTCTGGTGCTGGTGGCTGGGGAGAACCTGGCCAGTCCGAAATTCTCCTCTGCCTGGCGACTTACTCGGACGTGCACAGTGGGCTGGGTGGTCTCCTTCTCTGCCTCTTCACACCCACCCCCTTTAGCAGCAGAAGGGAGATGCTGCCTCCAAGGTGGATCCGGTACTGGTCTACTGGGAGTTGGGTGGCCTTGTTCCAGGAAGGAAGGAAGGAAGGATGGGAAAGGGAGAGGAAGAGGAAGAGGAAGAGGAAAGAAGGCCTGTCAGCTGTCTTTGGGAACAATGGAATGGAGAGTGTGTAGATCTTGCTTGGATCTCCTTCAAGGAGCTCTTGACCCCTGGTGACTTCACAAGCATTATCAACCCAGTCTACTTGGTCACAATATGGGAATGGTTTGGGATCGCCTTCTTCCAGAATGTTCTTTTGATTTCCCCTAAGGGGGCCTGGCATGTCAAAAAAGTCAACATGGTGGACGCAAAGATGCAAACAAAGGCCCACCTCTTGAGCATGTGCAAAGGGCACTCCTCTCACTAGTATCTGCGTGACCTGCTCAGGTGGATGCATTTCGAAGGCTGTTGTTGCTGCCGCTCCTCCTGCAAACCAGCTGGCATTCTTTCACAGAGAAGAAGCACGGGCCTCCCCCCAAGGCTTCTTCGGCTGCTGCCGCGTTTGGCAAAGCCTGGGTGGACGGCTGAAGGAGAGGCTGATCTGGAAGGGATCCCTGGTGGGCCCTGCCCTCAAAGATCCCTAGATCCTCCAGCTTTGCGGAGGACAAGACCTCCCTCCTCCGGAAAGGGCCTCCAACCATATTGCGCCCTCCCCAGACAGTGGCAGGCGCTCTGGAGAGGGGATGTCGGCTGCCCCATAGCTAGACAGAGCAAGCTCGCCAAGGTCAGGGGGCCACTGACCGCCCAGCTGCCGAGCGGAGGGGCTGGGCTGGTATGGCACCAGCTGTGCTTGGGGAGAGGGGCGGGTTAAGAAATAAGATGTCCAGGAATAGGAAGCGTGATTCAGCCCCAGAGAATGCGGAGGGTGAGACCAGAGGAGGAGAAAATGCAGGAAGGGTGGGGAGGCTTGGCAGATTTGGCCCTCATCCAAACACTTGCAGAACTGCTGCTGGGGACCCTGGAGGTACGGAGTGTCCCCCGCACAGCTAACCCTCCTGAACGCCAGTCCAAATTCAGGTCCCATCGCCAGAGAAGTCAAGCGTTTTGAGCTGGATGAGTCAAAGCTTTTGCGTTTGGGACGTGCCCTCCTTCCAGACTTCCCAGGGCTTTGCTAAGTCCTTCTTAGCAAATGGCGTTGATGGCGTTCTTGCTTCTCCTGCTGGCCAGGCAGCTATTTTTGAGATCCTGCATTGGCAGCTGTTGGTGGGCTCTCGCTAAGCCCAGGGTCTGGATTTGCAAGGGGCGATCCAGGCATCTCATGTGAAGCAGTGTGGAGTTATTTTTATCCGCAGGCCTGGGGTGGGTTTCTCCCTTCAGGAAGCAGAGGGCTTGGGCACTCCACTGGCATGCGGGCTAAATCAGCCCTTTGCTGGATACATCTCTATTCATCGGTGACTAAAACGGGTGAGCTCTTCTGCAGCGAAACCTCTCCAGGTTTATGCACTGCAAGAATGAATATATATCGAACAGGACCCGAATAGACTTCCCTGTCTGAAAACCAGTCAAGATTAAGAGCAACTGAAAGATAAAACTCCTTAAAGTCCCCTAAAAGTCCTTGAATGGAGCTCCTGTCCTAGGAAGCAGGTGGATATGGCTTTGCTGCTTTCGTGGCAACGCTGCAAGAGGAACTCAAGGCCCTGGAAAGGCGTTGTGGGGCCAGTGGCAGCTAAAGGATGGCAGAGGAGGTGCCAGGCAGCCTCCTCTAGGCAAGGAAGAGGACCAACACCGAGAAGGCCCCTTTGGAGGGTGAGATGTGGCCCTCAGGAGCTCTGGGACAAGGGACACGTCCTAAGACTTCGGTAAAAGGGCCTGGGGCCTGCATTAGGGCAGCGTTGCTCCACCTTGGCAACTTGACGATGTCTGGATGTCAACTCCCAGAATTCCCCAGCCAGCATGAAAAGGACCTTCAGGCCATTGACTCGGCTGATGGGTGCAGAAATCCAAACTTCAGCATCGCTGACCGATGGCGGTCCAGCCTGCCCTGGAAGATCTGCAGCCAAGGGTCTTTCTGGGGATGTATTTCCCAACGTTCAGTCTGAACCGGCATTTTTTATATATATGAAGTCCACGCTCTTCAAGTGGCCACATTGGAAAAACACTGCTCTAAATCATCACAGTGTTAACAATTTCTAGTTTCTATTGTATAAATACTGTACCTCTGTATTCAGATATTATCTGTATTCTATGATGTATTACTCGCCTTTTGTAATGCGACCAAACCATTAACTGGGGGGGGGGGTCCAGATGGCACCGTGCTTGTCCCATCAAGTGGGCCACAACTCACGTGACAAAGGGAGAAGGCTTCCTCTGTGCATAGTCTCCTCTGCCACCTTGACTTTTTGGCCCCTGCAAACGCTGACCAGATGCCAGGACGCAGGCTGGACCTTCCGGCTGTGATGTGTGAGACTCCGAGATGCCCCTTCCGAACTGAAGGGACCCAGCCCGGGGTGGGCAGAGGGGAGGCGCCCGCTCCTGTCTCTGAAACTCAGGAGTGGCGAGGCTCTTGAAGGTCCGGAAAGTTGGCTCCTTCCGAACCGAGATGCAGTCAGGAGCCAAGGGAACAGGAAGAACATTTCAGGAGAAAGACGGCCGGCTCTCCGAACAATGCTGGGAAGTGGGAGGGGAAGTGACCCAAGACAGACCCGAGAACATTGCAAGCCTCCCGGCCAGACGTGGCTCTGGTTGCAACTGGGTGGGTGCAGGCTGATGTGGGGAACATGGGCTGAGTGGACAAGGTGTCCTGGAAGACTATTTTTTCCCCTTCCTTTTTCAAGCCAGACCGAACAACGGCTTGTCGGTCTCTCTCTGGGAAACGTTTCCTTTCCGGTCCAGGTTCGCTCCCCTTCGGGGATACCTATTTATGGATTTATTGGATAAATTGAGATTTGGAACTTTTTTCCTGCTTCCTGGCTTATCCCCGTATCAGGTTTTCAGGTGGAAAGCAGAGTGCAGGGGGGTAAAAATACAAGCTGAAAACAGGAATTCTGAGGCTAGATTTCGCCCGCTCTGGACCACGGTGGCCAAGTTGGGGTTGAGAACCTGGGATGTGTGAAACGCTGCTCAGGAGAATTCCTTGGAACTGGGTAGGGAAAGGCTGGGCGATGGAGTAAGGGCTGAGTAAGTGGGAGTTCGTGGTGATGCCAAGCCCTCCAATACAGGGAGTCCCAGGGTCAAAAATGCCCAGGTTACAGATGACCCATAGTTAAGAACGAAGCTTATTGTAGCAAAATTCAAGTTAAATACACAATTATTGGAGTTCATTACACAATACTACTTATACCAGTATTTCTCAACCTTGGCAACTTGAAGATAGATGGACTTCAAGTTGCTGAGGTTGAGAAACATTGACTTATACAGTATTATACAATAATATTGTTCCAGCTTACATACGAATTCAACTTAAGGACAGACCTTGGGAACAGAACTCGTTCTTAAACTGGGGACTCTCTGTACTTCTGGGGAGCAAGAAGGTGTAGCCCTCTGCTCGTCGCAAAAAACACGTTGCGCGTGATGGGCTGAACACTGGGAATTAAAAGTGTGTGCTGTAGGTAGGGTTTGTGTTTGGTGGAAGAGAATATTGCTCCATGTGTAGACAATTGTGAGCATTGATCTGAAATAACGGCTCCCGGGTTGCCCGCAGGCTTAGCTCAACCCCCCTGAGATGTTCAAGTTCTCCTGATGGCTCTTCCCCTCCACCAGGTTTCTGGGCGAAGCCCACGTGCCCCTGCGGGATGTCCTGGCCTCCCCCAACCTGGCCGCCAGCTTCAACGCTCCCCTGCTGGATGCCAAGCGACAGAGCACCGGGGTAAGTCTGCTTTGGGGGTGAGCAGGGGCTCCCTCTGAGAGAAGCACCCTCTGCTGATGGTGGAGCTGCTCGGCCATCTGTCCACCATGATGCCAAACAGATCAGGCGAGAGGCAGAGCGAGCCTCCCCTTGGGAGGAGGCCCATCCAGATCCAAGAGGGTCCCCTTCCAGCCTGACTCATCTTTTTAGAGAGGGAGCTGGTTTCGGAGCAAGGAACGTAGGATTTTTGCTTTATGAGTTGTGAACAAGTCCAGAGGTTGGGCAACTCCAGCACTGTGGAAGTCTCCACCAGCTGTGGTTGGAGGCGATGCAGGTGGAGAAGAGCGAGAGAACTCGAACTCAGGGTCTCCCTGCTCCTGGTCCTGGCTAGTCTAAAGTGGCAAAAAAATCAGACCTCCTCCGACTAACTCATCTGATTCAAAGGCAGAAGCTTTCCTGAACTGCAGCCCCTGCCTCAGACTCCGAGAGCAGCTAGCTGATGAAGAGAGGGCGCTGCGGCTCATGAAAGCGCCTGCCTCTTCTTCAGATCTGTTAACAGGCTTGCGGGCTCCTGACGTTTCACCTGTGGCTGGAGGCTGACCCCAGTGATGGACCCTGGAGCCCCTGGCGTTTGCCCTCCAGGCCAGCCTGACGTCTGGGGACGGCTCAGGACCCTCGGAGGAGCTTTGTTGACCAAATGCAGAACTGGCTCGGCGCTGCCTTCACTGGGAATGTGTCCTGACTTCCCGGGCAGATTCTCCCCTCTGGATTAACCGGGCCTGATCCCACTCGGCTTCTCAGCCCAGAGGAGGTGCCTTTCTTAGAAGCGATCCAAAGGCGTGGCAGGGTTTCAAAAACTGTTGTCAGGCAATCGGGAGGACTCTAAAGCTGCACTGATGATTGCCCGGGGCTGAGCTGCTCTCGGCTGACCTCGAGAAAGCTAAATGGGATGAAACCTATTACTGCTTGGATGGGAGGCCACTCAGAAATCCCGAGGATGCAGGCTGGGAAGAGAGTTCGGAGGAGCATCCTGGGAAGAGGCTGTGGCAAGCCACTCTGTGAGGCTGCCATGACCTGTGCCTGGTCCATCTACTTAATTAATTAATCTAATTAATGTAAAGTCATGAGGGGTTATGCTTGCCTACAGGGAGTCTACACCTTTTCCTTAGGTGAAGGGGCTCCTTTATCACTGTTTAAAAAAATGTTTAACTGAGCTCTATTACTGAGATCTGGGTCTTACACTTCTTCTGGAGCAGTGTTTCAACCTTGGCCACTTGAAGATGGGTGGGCTTCAACTCCCAGAATTCTTCAGCTTGCCGACTGGGGAATTCTGGGAGTTGAAGTCCAGCCAGCTGAAAGCGGCCAAGGTTGAGAAACACGGGTCTAGACAGCGGCTAGAAGCAGCACGGGGCAGTGGTTGATTTAACGTTGATTCTCACTTCCAGAGAAAAAGGCTGCCTGGATCACAGTGCAGCTTGGGTGGGGATGGTCCTCCGGGGCCTCCCAGCCCTTCTCCCTTCGTGTAGGAAATCAGGAGCTGCCGCATTTTCAGAGGGAGTGTGGTGCTTATCCCACCTTACGCTCCGTAATCTTGACAGTTCCTAAGTTTTATTTTCATGATGGTTGTAGATACGCTCAGACTTACCACTGGGCATTGTTGGAATGACGTATGGCTGTTGCTTTAATGTTAAGATCCAGTTCTGGTTTGGTTGTTGAGCTGTGAACTAATTTTAAGGGATGACATGTTGTCATTGCAACGGCTTTTCTGATTTGTGTGGTGCTTTGCTAAAGGAGCGTAAGTAACGAGAACCGCCACCGGCACCACAGGGGAGGCGTGTTTTGGAGTGCACGGGAGTTCAAGCGGCGGATCTCTTTAACACAGCCCCATCAGCCTGAAAAAAGAGGCAGCTGCCTTATAGAGGTCCTGCCTCTCCAGGTTAGCCAAGCTGCGCCCAAGCATCGTTTTCGGAGCGCATCCAAGTCCTTTCGGTTGACGTCCTTCATCCAGCCCTTTCCGTTTCTCAGGGGTGCCTGATCCTCCAAGTCTCCTACATTCCACCTCCTGGGGCAGCTCCTTTCGTCCCTCCTCCGGCCCCCCCGGAGCCAAATCCGACTCCCTCTGAGCTGGACACGGTGACAGGTAAGGAGGCGAACTGTCCCAGCCCAACTCTGTCCCAGGATAGGCCTGCCAAATAGTCTTTTTTTCCTTTTGATTCTGGACGTTCTTTCTTGCTCTCGGCTTCGTATTGTGTCCTACCCCGAGGGCCAGTGCAGACCAGGAGCTAGGCAACGAAACAGTAAAGGGATCATCTGTGGCCACTTCATGGACGTGTTTACGGAGGGATTCTTTGTGTTTTGCCATTGCTTTCCTCCAGCCTAGATGGCATTTCCTAGTGGTCTCCCGTCCAAGGATTAACCGACCTTGCTTATATTTTGGAGATCTGAGCTGGGCAAACAAACATGCACATGAAGAAGTCATTCTGGGTACCTGAAGCAAAGTCCAAAGGGAATTAGAGGTACGGTCCCATCGTGGCTAACATCCAGTGGTGGATCTGCTTTTGTTAATTGGTCTGATTTGACGGCCCTTTTCCCCACCGGAGCTGTCTTCCTGGCCCTTTTAGTCCCTGCCGCTTGCTACCATCTTCCTGGCCGTTCGTAAGCGTTCAGCCCCGTTTTGGGCTGCTTTGCTTTAAGGGCAGTTTGTGAGCTCCTCAAGGAATAAATGCCGCGAACCTCCTTCTCTGCAGATACGGGGGGCGAAGAAGACACGGAAGAGCAGCTGGGCACAGATGAGGAGGAGGAGCCTTCCGCGAGGCCACCCGCTCCCGCTCAGCCTCCCTTGCCCAAGAAGCCGCCTTCCCACGTTCCTCCCGGAAGCAAGAGCAGGAAAAGCACTTCCCGGAAGCTGCTCTCCAACAAACCCCAGGATTTCCAGGTGACCAGCCTCAGGCCCGCCTTTGGGAGACGTTCACGCGGGTCTTTGGGGTCTCTGCCCTTGATCTGCTGGCTTCGCGCTGATGAGGCAGAAGGGCTTCAAGCCGTGGGCCTGGATTAGGCTCTCGCTGCCTGCTTGAGACGGTCTGCCCGATCCCTGGAAGCACCAGTGGCCCCGCGTGGCTGGAAGCCCCTGGAGACATTGCTGGGCACCCTGCATGGTTAGAGAGGGTGAAAAGGACAGGAACTCATCCGGACGTGCACCCAGGGTGTTCTTCTGCCAGCTAGAGTGACTTATTGTTACAGTGCAAATTAAGTAAACAGTTCGTGCTTCTGTTTCTAAAATACGGCTCAGCCCTCTATGGAGCTTCTCTCAGCTCCTTGACTGTGGCCCGCGCTCCCTGGTGCACCCAGTTGCTAATCATTGGGCTTTGCCACGTTCGCTCCTCTGCTGGGCAGCTTCCCTGCTCCTCACCTTTTCTAAATTAGGGCGGCGGATGGAAGGAGGGGAAATAACTCTTTTTCTTGAGCCTCTAGGAAAGCCACCGCCTTGTTGCGCATCTCCACGCCATCTCCATCTTGCATTACCGGCAGATGCATCTGCTCCCGGGTGTCTAAATTAAGGCAGGAGCTTCTCGCTGTCTACATGACTCATACAGCTGGAAGACGGGCAAAGCTCTACCCCTTGAGGCACACTGCCCCCAGCCTCAGTCATGGCAGCTTGCGCTCCCACATGGTTCCCATTGCCCATAACTTGCTTAAGAGAAAAGGCAAATCCTTCAAAGGGCGGAACATCTGGGGCTGTGAAGCACCAAGATCCTCCTGGTGGACAGGGGTCTTGGTACAGCTCCCCGTAGACCCCCCCAGTTCTAACCCAGTCAGATCTCCTAACTTCCACACCATTACATTAGCTGGGTCAGAACCTCATTTGGGGAATACAGAGTCTGTGCCAACTTTCTTCTGGAAGTATGCAGAAGGAATTTTTTTTACACATTGCATAAAAAAGTGAAGTTTGGAATTGGCTACCACAAGATGTGGTGCTGACTACCAGCTTGGCTAGCTTCAAATAAGGGTTGGTCCAATCCATGGAAGCCATGGGAGCCATGGCTATCAGCCTTGATGGCAGTGGGACAGTCCCCTGCTGGGCTTCCTTGGGCAGCTGGTTGGCCATTGTGAGAATAGACTGCTGGACTAGACTGGCCAGGGGTCCAATCCAGGGCACTGCTTTTGTTCTTCTTATGTTCTTACGGCGTCTCCTGAGCCTTGGCACTAGGAGGGCATTGGCAAGGCATCATGATAGCATTAGCCTCTCCCCTATTGGCCAGGCAGGCAAGCAATAAGCGTGGCTTGGCCCCTGCAGCCAATCAGGGCTTGGGAAGCCTGTTTTGGCAGCGAGTTCTGTTATGGAAAGATGCGCCCTTCTCAGCCACTCTTTCTCTCCAGCTCCTTTTCCTGGAGGACCAGATAGGCAAAAAGGGTCTTTGACAGTAGAGTTAAGCTGTGGGAGACTCAGTCTGGTTGGCGCTAAATGCCATCCCCGGGATTTCATTGGCCGGGTCACCTGTTCCTATACCCCAATAACTCCCTTCAGTATGTCCTGGGAGGAAAGCCAAAGAGGGGATGTGGGCATTTAGTGGTTCGCGTTTGTGTTTCTGCAGTTCTTTGCAGCTGTAGAGGTGGCCTTTCCCCCACTTATTGGGCTTATTTCATGCTTTGTTGTATTCCTGTAAATGGTCCTGGGCCATGTGAAGTAAGCGATATATTTATTTTTGTACAAATAAGCGCGGAGTCCTTGGTGCTCTCTGAGCTGGGTAGTTTGCTTGCCAACGTTTCATCACCCAACTGGGTCACATCATCAGGGCGAGGGAGGATGAGGTTTGCTCCCTGTTTATATACAGTAGCTCGCCCTGCCAGTGCTGGCACGAGTGTGGTTTCCTTCTTAGCGGTTCCTTGATCCAGACAAACAACCTGGCAGAAAACAACACCCTAATCAAGGAACCACCAAGGGGGAAACCACACCCCCGCCAACACTGGCAGGGCAAGCAACTGTATATAAACAGGGAGCAAACCCCACCCTCCCTCTCCCTGATGATGAGACCTAGTCGGGTGATGAAACGTCTGCCAGCCAACCGACCAGCTCAGAGAGCACCAAGGACTCCACAGTTCAACCCTGAGCTACAGAGATGCTCTTCTGTTGGAACAAATAACTGCACCAAATAGATTTTGGATGGAGGAAGAGGCAGACGTCCAACTTTGGACCGGGGTGCAGAATGAAGAAGCTCCAGGCCTTTCCGTTCCGTTCTTGGTGGCTCTTCCAAGCGTTTGGGCCTCTCCCTCCTCCCTTCCCTTTCTGGTTTGAGCTGGGGGGTGGGCAGACTCTGCTGGCTCCACTCACCTGCTCTCGCGTCCTTGATGGCCTGTTGTCTGCCTTCTCCCCACTTCTCCTTTCTAGATCCGGGTGCGCATCATTGAAGGGCGACAGCTCTCTGGTGTCAACCTCAAGTCTGTGGTGAAGGTCACGGCAGTGGGGCAGACCAAGAGAACCAGGATCCGGAAAGGAAATAGCCCCTTTTTTGATGAGGTGAGGGGAAAGGGGGGGGCTTATTTCATTCTTCAGTGGGATAGAGCTTGGTGTAACAGGTGCTATGAGTTAAGAAAGCTGAAATTCCCCTCGTAAAGTAGCCCCGGTAAAAATTCAGCAGCCCCCTCTCCTTTTTGTTGGGTTGTCATCTCCTGGTCCATGGATAGAGGACAAGGGAAGGGGCTGCCAAGCTTCCAATGTTGCAGCCCCTACGGAAAAGGCCCTTCGCACCTCTGGGGCGGGTGTGTGTGTATTATCCTTAGCAGACCAGGGTTCCTCAAAGTTCTGGCACGGTGAGTTTCCCAGGAGGGGGAAATGTGGTGGCGCTCAGAATAGTGTGTGAACCCAGCCCTGATGGTGAGTTTACGGTTCAGGGGAACTGGGTTCATTGCAGAACCATTCTGAGGTTAATCATGGGCAAGCAACAGGGCGTCACATGGACGCAACCAGTGAGCCTGAATGTGTTGGCTCCTCCATGGAGGAGTCTCGCATCCCTTTGGAAGCCCTGATTGTGAGAATTGCTGCAAAGCATCCCGGGACTTTTTAAAATTTGTGTGACTTTGGGAGGGGAAGAAACTCACTTGTCTGCCCCGTGTCTGTGGGTATTCCTTCGTGGCCGGTTTCCTGGCGGGCAGAGAAGTGGAAATGCGTTTGTGGTGCGGCTGGGCCTCACTCCTCTGCCTGTCTCCTGCAGACCTTTTTCTTCAATGTCTTTGAATCCCCAATGGAACTTTTCGATCAGCCCGTATTCATCACGGTAAGTGGGCTGGGGGTCCTCCCCCTCAGTTTACATATAGAACGTATCAGATAGAAAGTACGGTATGTTGCTTTTAGATATGTGAATTGCATGTTACCAACACAATGTGAGGCAATTGCGACTTTTTTTAATTGGGGGAGGCACATGACCCAGTTGTGGGAATTCATGACATTTTTTCTACTTCATTTATATATGTAGGTATGTGTGTATTTAGCACGGGTGTCAGCAATCTTTGGGGGTATCCCCAAATCACCTGAAATCTTGCAAGCTCACCAAATCTTGTGAGGTACCTGCAATCTTGCCCCGAAATCTTGGGAAATCTCTCCCCAACGTGCTGAGACCTGATGAGATTTTGCAGGAGGACACAGAAAGAGTCTTGGTGCAGACAAAGAGGGCTGGCTCTTAGGGCATAGCGCTGAGCTTATGGCTGGAGAGTCCCTCGCGGGGCAGAGGGCAGTTGTGAGCTGGCCTCTTAGGGGTGCTGTTTCAGTGGAAGCTCCTGTTTGTGTTCTCTCCAGGTTGTTGACTCCCGCTCTCTCCGGACGGACTCTGTCGTTGGAGAATTCCGGGTAACTCATTTCCTTCCTAATCAGCATTCTTGTTTCTCCAAATAATTACGGAGAAAGAGTTCTTGGGCTTCCTTGCTAGCCAGGAATTACGCACAGTTGCCGCTGTCTCTCTTTCCGCCCTCCCCTGGTGCCGCTTTCGCAAGAAACGCCGGTCCACTGCCACCATTGTCACCATGATCTGCAGAAACATGACCGGAAGGGGTCTGGCTGTGCATCATGGCTGGGCAGTGAGGACAGAGGGGGGGTTCTGGGGAGCAGTGAGGGCATCTGATGGAGGAGGTCCAGTCTGAGGGTCCTTGTACTTATGTCTTACAGTTGGACGTTGGAACCATTTATGCTGAACCCAGTGAGTGGAAACTGAATTTTCGTCTTTGGGGGAACTGAAAGGGTTTCGTTAGCACAGAGCAGATAGATGCGGTTTGCTGCTTCTGCAGAGCGCTGAAATGCCTAAGCAGGTTTTGATTAAAGCTGTTGATAGGTTTTAGAAGGAGACCCAAGCTTTGGGATGGGAGGAGAAAACATGTTTAGCAAGACAGTTATGGTGGAGACCAGTGCTGGTGAAGACCATCTCACTTCCCAGAATCACATCAGATGGATATAAGGGGTGTTTAGAAAAGTTTCTCCCTTGGCTGGCTGTTCATAGAAGAGGCTTGAACGGCTGTAGTGGGCACTGCCAAGGCATGAGATGTGGGTGCCAAAGACACAGGAATATGCTGGCTGGGGAATTCAGGGAGTTGACGTCCATACAAAGTTGTCAAGTTTGAAAAACACTGGTCTGAATGATGCTAGTTTTGCTTGTGGAGAGCTTTAGGGGTGGATTTCATTGCAAAACGCACCTTCATTCCGGAAAGGAAGAGGGGCCGTGAATTCTTCAGCCAGTGATTCCCTCATTTTATCAGTCTGATGGTATAACTCAGGTGGCTGAGTTATGATGTATGAATGTGAGTTCGGCCTCCTCCTCCTCCTCTTCCTCCTCCAGGGCATTGCTTCCTCCGGAAGTGGCTGCTGCTTTCAGATCCAGAGGATTTCTCTGTCGGAGCCAGAGGCTACCTGAAAGTCAGCTTGTACGTCCTTGGTCCTGGCGATGAAGCGCCTGTGAGTATATTCTTAAAAGGTGGTCACCTTGAAAAGGAGGCTCCCCAGAAGCTGTCTCTCCCCCTTGCAGGGCTCTTCGGCTGGGTGGAAAAGTGTGGGCTTTGGGCCTTCTGGGGGGACACAGTGCAACAGGGCTGCTATTCCGACAGGATGCCTGACTTTTTCATTTACTGGGAAGGATGGCTGGAATCAAGCGCTGCATCCTTTGGAAAACCAGCATCTTTTGAAGCCTATGGGGAAAGCCCCGAGGCTGTGATGCCCGAGTCACCATCTTGCATGCAAGCAAGATGGTCCAAATTCAAGGACCAGCACATTCACAAATTCAAGGACCGGCACAAACTTCACCTTCCAATCATGGCCCCCTGAATGTGTCAGGCGCGTGCTTTCCCGGAGGCGAATCTGGCCTGGGAGAAGCTGCCTTAGAACATAACCTCACAATTGTGGCCTTGGTGCTGCAGACTGAAAACGGGTTGTTTGGCCTCCTAGTAGAGCCATTGGGGGAGGTGAAAGTCATCCTCTTTCATGCTTCTCCAACACTTAAAACGCCACAAAACACTAAAAGAGCTCAAAAGCACAGATCAAATTGAATGAAAAGGCCAAGGGCAATACAAGAGACCACAGTTGGTAATTTCCTTCTGTAGCTCTGGTGCAGGTGGGGAGGAGAACACGACCAGGGCCTTCTGTGGAAGCCCTCAGGGACTTTCTCCCCTTGCAGGGCGCAAACATCCCCCAGCAGCACTTTTGCCCACAACATCGGTTTCACGTTGTCCCTCACCCAGGAGTGAGATGGACTTCCGTTGTCCTTAGTTGCGCTGATGCTGAAGCCAGTTTCTCCCCTTGTTTTGACACTCTCCGAGTGCAGCTGAAGTCCTGCAAAAATCTGTTAGAGTCGGCCACCCGATCGCTTGGAGGGAAGTCAGGGGAGTGGCAAGGACTGGGACCAGAGGCAGCCAAGGGAGGAGAAGGGTCCATACCCATTCTTACTTGTTGCATGCACACAATGGTTTCAGCCTTCCCCTTCAGGGAGGAGTGTGTGTGTGTGAAAGAGAGACGGGGTGGGACATGTGAGATTAAAGCCCCGTTTCTTGATGATAACATATTGCGTGACCTGAAAAGGTAAATGTTTAATTGTGGAGTCCTTGGTGCTCTCTGAGCATGGTGGTTTTCTTGCAGATGTTTCATTACCCAACTAGGTAACGCCGTCAGTGCGAGGGAGGGTGGGGTTTGCTCCTGTTTATATACAGTAGCTTGCCCTGCCAGTGTTGGTGAGGGTGTGGCACTGATGATGTGACCTAGTTGGGTAATGAAACGTCTGCAAACAAACCACCAAGCTCAGAGAACACCAAAGACTCTACAGTTCACCCCTGAGCTATTGAAATGTGTACTTTCTGGATCATGTAAACTGCCCTGAGAAAACTTTGCACTCACTGAATGCATTGTAAAAATTTAGTTTTAAATATTTCAAATAAATACAAATGAAAAATAGAAGAACGCTGA